CATATGTTCAATGTATAAGTCTGTCGTTGAGTGGTATGTATGTGTGTGTCTTTTATCATCTTAATGTATGGTTGTTGTATTCTATCCCTATCTAATCATGATTGATGCAGCAATATGAAATTTTGTAGTGATTATATATATATATATATATATATATCTGGCTTGGGTCGGGTTAATGGGTTGTCTGGTTTATGTGAAATTAATTTATGTTCGGATAATAAAAGCCTTTGTTTTGCTTTATTTTACTGTGTTATTTTTGTAAACTAAAACTATGATATCTCTAAGGCTGGTTACTATTTTTATTTTGTATCCTACTGCTTTTGATTTTGCTTGTCAGACTATTTTAACTTTCTTCTCTCCAGTTATTCAAGATTAGTGAAGAGGTTGTGATCGACGCGACAAATAAAGGAAACATAGCACGTTTAATTAATCACTCTGTAAGACCATAAACCATTATCACCAGATAGAATGCATTCTACCTTTCTTACAATGGTGTCTTCAATGTTTTTTGATGCAGTGCATGCCCAATTGCTATGCAAGGATTATGAGTGCAGGCAATGATCAGAGCCGGATTGTACTCATTGCTAAGACAAATGTATCTGTAGGCGATGAGCTAACGTATTACTACCATCTCAAGTTCTTATTTCTCTTAATTCTCTTAATTCTGTGGAATTTATCTTTGATTGTCATTGATTAATTAAGTTTGTCAATGGCATCTTCTTACTATGTAGTTTATATGCATATTGCAAATGTAGTTCAGGTTGAATGCAGCTAATTTGACTGCAATTTTCTTTCATAGGCTTCTTGCAGAAAACCAAATAGGCAATATTATTTTGCATTCATACATGTTAGAACATACTATTAGTGCCAAATGAGGCTTTTATCAACCGCAGCAATGGTAATGGGGGGATTTCTTGGGTTTCCTACTAAGTTTCCTCTTTCATGGTTCACAAATTGGAGCTTCTTTGGAGGATCTCCAAATTTTTTTTCATTTTTAAGACGAAAATCCTAATTAATGCGTGTTGCATAGATTAAGGTTTCGTTTGGGATAGCTTTTTTATTGTTTTCTAGCATAATAGCTGTTTTAGAAAGCAGTAAGAAAGTTGTCCCAAATGAAATCTTAATCTTAAGTTGAACTTCGTGATAAGATTGTTGTGGGGATTAGTTGTTGTGGTCAGGGGTTAGGGATCTTAAGAAGTATTTATTTATTGAATATTTATAGGTTATTTCATCAAAGATGTTTTGAAAATTTTATTGTCTTTTTCAACTGCAATTTTTTCTTTACAAAAATGTGGTGCAAAATTATACAAAAAGAGATGAGGGGAGGGGAGCTGTAATTCTCCACCATCAAAATCATAATGAAATCAACAATGATGATAACAACATGAAGCCATCAATTAAATGAATCAATATATAGGCTTCGTTTGGGATAGCTTTAGCTTTTTAGTATTAAAATTTTAATTTTTGAACTAAAAAGTCGCTTTAAGTAGTAAGAAAGCCTTCCCAAATGAAGTCATAAATGTGTGTGTTTTTGTGTTGATTTTCTTCTCTGTTTCCGCTCTTCATATTTAAATTAGGCTTCACCTATTTCCCAACCATCATCTCATGTGTTTTTCGTGTATCCTCTCGCAGGTATGACTACCTGTTCGAAACCGACGAAGCCGACGAATGCAAGGTTCCATGCCTCTGCAATTCACCAAACTGTTGTAAGTTTATGAATTAAGAGTTTGTTCATGAAAATCAATTCTTTCAAAACAAGGGAGTAAGTCTTCCCTTCCATTGAAATTAAGCCTTCCCCTTCAACATTATTTTTGATTTTCTTTTGATTTTTCTTATTTCTCCAATAAGCTTTTTATCTGATTTCATCCCAACAAAAAAATTAGATACTGTTCTATCAAAATATTTCAATCATTGATCAAATTGTCAAACTTTTACATAGGCAGGTTTCTGTTCCTAGTGTACAATTTTCAAAATATCAACCAAAACTTTTTTTTTCCCTCTCATTCTTTGCTTTTTTATTGTTCTTTTATTTTATTTATCTTATAGCAAAAGAAAATTGTGAAGAGATTATATATATCTTAAAAATTATTATGCTCCAGTGGTAGATAAAATTAGAGAGAGTTACTTTAGATGGTTTGGTCACATCAAATGTCTGTTTTTCGATGACCTGATTAGAATGATAGATGTATCAGATTTAGCTTATATTAAGAAAGATTGAGGTAGGCTTAAAAGGATCTTGTTAGAAAATATTAGAAATGATTTTTTATTGGAATTAAATAAGAATTTGACTCTTAATAGACTATTATAATGGAGATAAATGATTCATGTAGTTGTTCTCACTTATATTGTTGTTGTAAAATATGTATTTTTTTGTTTTAAATATTTTCGTATTACATTTAAGCTTGTAGCTTTTTAATATTTTATATGATTTTTTTTTTTGAGATAAAAATAAGCGAAGGTGAAATATATAAATAATTAAATAGTATTTTTGTGACTTTAAATTAGATATCTGATTAAATTATTAATTATTACTCTATAAAATGATTGCTTGGACATTTTTTTATCATACATCGAAATGTGTAGTAATAGTCTTCCACTGCTGGGTTTCTTTTTTGTATGGTATAAAGGAAATGTCTGAGAATTTTGGCCCTCAGAGATATTGGGGCTCATTTCTTTGGTTGAAGGTAGAAAAATGCTTTCTATTCCCCGTAAGAGGTAAAGACTATTTTAAATTGGAAAAAATTATTTCGTGCAGAGTCTGAATGCATTTGGACTTCAGTCAAAATTGGTCACGCCGTCTGTACATAGGATGTGTACAGATGATGTGGCTTATTTTGATTGGTGTTCATACTCAAGTTATGTTCGGACTCTGCGCCGAATAATTTCTCTTTGAATTGTGGGGGAAGAGTAAAGTTGATTTCTATCTTTGGAAAGAAAATTCTCTTGAACATGAAGCTAAATTTTATTTCTTAGAACATTATGAGTGGCATTAATAAGGCAAGGTTGATTTACGTTTATGGTTATCATGATGATGAGGAGACATTGCATGGGTGAATTCAAGTTGATTATTATTAGCATGTTAATTTTATGGTGGGAGAATTCTATTATGTTGCAATGGTGCTCTTTATTCTCTAGCTTTTTTGAAAGTTGGAGGATTTGATCTTGATGCTACTCCATTTGGTGCATTTGATCCTTAAATGTTAGGGCTAAGTGGTCTTCATCAATTGGATTGTATTGTTCTTGATTGAGTGATTGATTGTTAGCCATTAAAAATAATTATAAAATGTCGGGAAGCTTTTCATGGTTGGTGCTCAACTTATTTGTGCTAGAAAATTCATTACAATAGAGAGTTTTATGTCTTAGTTTTGTGCAAAGATGATGGTGGTTAGCCATTACAATCCAATGTTGAATCTTTTGATCATAGATTGCTCATTCAGCATTTAAGTACCTTGATGATTTTAGAATCAAGTGATTTTTGGCTCCTTAGATTTTTCTTATTAAGATGCTCGGTTTGAATATAATTATGTAAGATTTGGAGACCGTGCCTTGATTTTAGAATCAAGTGTATTTTTGGCTTATTAGAATTTTCTTGTCGAGATGTTTGATTTGATTATAAGTATGGAAGATTTGGAGACCGTTTGTTCATTCAATTAATATTTTGAAGTTTTCAATCATATTTGAAGTGCAAAAAGCATGCAATGTCTAGTAAGAATATCCATCACTAAAGCAAAAAGATAAGGGCTTAAGGCTGATCTTTCATGTATCATGGCTCTTAATATGATACAATAAAGAAAAAATATTTATGTAATTAAACCCACGTAAAAAATGATTTAAGGGATGATATAATATTATTTAAGTTGTTATTCTTAAATAAATATTGATTCAAATTTTTTTTCAGGTTTATTATTTAAACAAAATTTATTTTGAAATTTCATATTAATCTCTCATTACATAGCTTCCTAATTCTATTTTGGTATTTTTTTCTTTGTTAAAAAATAGCGTGAAAATAGATTTTATATTTGATGGTATAATTACAGTCGTCCTTTTTTTATTATATATTGCTATAATTAATAAAATATAGATTTTAGAATAATGATATAATTCCTTCATTAAGTTATTGAGAATATTTTAAAATATAAAATATGTGAATGAAAATTTTCTCAATTTCAATTGTGCTCAGAAAATCCCTATTGAAAATTTAATATATCACATAAGATTATAATTAAAAAAGATTAATTAATAGGTTGTTTGATCGGATGAAAAAGAAATGTAGAATAAAATATAATATATTGTTAAAAGAACATGGCGTATTTAAAATATTTTTAAATTTTTCTTGAAGTGAAATAAATTTCGTTTAAAGCGTGCGAGATCTAAAACGACATTTTTTTGAATTTTACAGATACTAACTCTTTATATATATAATTTGTAGCACTAATATCAATGTAAATTGTGTCAAGGAGTTTTGATGCGATTTAATTCATTATGAGTTTGTTAGCCGTTGGAATTACGATGAGATTAATGTATCATTTGGATATCATTTGCAGTACTAATCTTAATGTAAATCTAATGATTTTTAACTCATCCTAACGGAAAACATGAGGGCATTTCTCACGGTATTTTTTTTCTTCTGAAGTTAATTGAGTACATTTATGATACGTAAGTAAATGATATGTAACTTTAAGATTTTAATCTTCATCATTGATAAATTAGGTAATGTCAATAACAGAATATCATAGAATAATCAATATAAAATAATATAAGGCACTATAAAATAATTTTATTTCAATAGGATACATAAATTCTTAATGCACATGCTCTCTCTCTCTCTCTCTCCATATATAAAAAATTTTGTAAAATATGTTGATGTATTTTGCATGGGGAATGAGCTTCAAAACTTTTCTATTTATTGTGAGATTAGTGCTACATATCAATACTTCAATAGCCATCAATTTTTGAGCAAATTTAAAAATGTTGAGCCCTAAGAGAGAGAGAGAGAGAGAGAGAGAGAGAGAGAGAGAGAGTAGGGGTGTCATATCGGATCAACGGGTTGGGTTTGGGTCGAACCTGGAACTGACCCGGCACTGTTCGGGTCAACCCGAACCCGACCTGTTTTTTAAAACGGGTCCGGTTAGTTCAGACTAAATATTAATATTCTCAAAATCCTAATATTTGAACAACTTTACTCTTTTACTTCAAACCAATAAGCCCTTACAATAATCATAAATTCTCAGCGTCAACTTATCCACATTAAGAGTTTGACTATTCTTTTAACTCAACTATGACTTAAATAATAAACCAAATTATAAAATTTTTATTTAATTTTCTTGTGATGTTGACCCTTAAATAATTATTAACCAATCTTCTAAAAAATACTTTCCAAAATATAATGCCAATTCTTTTATTTTACTATAAATAAAATAAACAATATGAAGTGCTAACAATATCAAAAGTGTGATAATTACTAATTGTCATTATATTTTGATATAATTTTATTAAAATTTATTGGATCTATTTCGAGATTAAGGTGATAATAACTCTTCATATATAATACTAATATCAAAATTTATCTAATGATTTTTACACATTCAAAAATCAATTTTGTAGCACTAATCTCAATGTAAATGGTATGAAGGTGTTTTGATGCAATTTACTTTATTATGACTTTGATATTCGTTGGAATTACAATGAGATTATTGTAACATTTGGATATCATTTGCAGCACTAATCTCAGTGTAAATCTAATGATGCTTAAACTCATTCAAATGGAAAACATGAGAACATTTGTCACTGTATTTTTTTTCTTCTTAAGTTAATTGAGTACATATATGATACACAAGTAAATGACGTGTAACTTTAAGATTTTAATCGTCGTCGTTGATAAATTAGGTAATTAATATAAAATTATGAAAGACACTATAAAGTAATTTTCATTAGGATACATAAATTCTTAATACACATGCTTTATCTCTCTCTCTCTCTACATATATACAAAAATGCGTAAGATATGCTGATGTGTTTCGCATCGGGAATGATCAGCTTCAAAACTTTTCGATTTGTTCTGAGATTAGTGCTACATATCAATAGGTTGCATCAATTTTTGAGCAAATTTAAAAATATTGAACCTTAAGAGAGAGAGAGAGAGAGAGAGAGAGAGAGAGAGAGAGAGAGAGAGAGTCATGACAAGAGGCATCCATTGCATAAGTGGACTCCACTGATGCATGACTCAATTACTTATTAGCTACTCTTCTTTAATGAAAGCGATGGAATCTATAAAGTTAAGGAAAACAACACCATATGAGAAATCAAAGTTTTGGCCTTTGGTGTGACCACCGTTTGGTGAATCAATCATGTGCCCATTTAGCTAATATAACATATACAATATATGTGGAGGCTAATTTTATTTTAATTTTGATTTGAGAATATTATTTACTTTTATGCGTATACTACATTAGATATATATGAATCACATTAAAAATATAAATTTGATATTTTTATACATTTCTTATTTAAAAATTTATTTATATATGATTAGATTAACAACGTAATATGATATATATTATTTTTTTTATAATGATAACAAATCTAACGGGAGAATTAAGATTGACGTGAGATCTCATCAGAGGAGTTTTGCACCCATAAGGAGAGCGAATTGAGCGAAAATTTTGATCTCATCAACGATGCCCTTAGAGAATACCAGCATTGAGATTTTATACGTGTAGGTAGAGATCAGAATTGACTATGAAGCCACCATTGAAAATTATTATTATTTTATAATTTCAAAAAACACATAAAACCTTTTTTTTATTTTCTAAGTAAATTATTTTAATTAAAAATGATAAATAAATAAATGAACATACCAAATATAACCTAAGCTAACAAAGACCTCAACCTACTTGCAACTTCAAATAAGGGATATTGTTCCATCTCTTGACAACCATCTTAAGAATTATTAATTACAATCTTTAGATATAAATATTTCATTTTTTTCTTTTAAAAAGCAATCATTTATTACTAATTCATGATTATTGGATGTTAAAAGGCTTCAATCCTATAGAGAAGAGACAAAAATGCCTGTCATTAAGAAGTTGGCAAAAAGCCGTATAATTTGCATGTGGATGTGTCGTATCAAATTTAATAATCATCTTAAGAACATAATTAACTATTGTTATCTTTGGCATATTAGAGTTAATGATAGTAATTAAGAAGCTTAATTCCCTCTTTGAAGATTTTGTAGAGGTGATTAATTATTCAAATTGAGAGCCATACCATCCTCAAAATTCGTGCAAAATTTATCTTCTTAGAAATTATTGGAAATTTTGTTCTTAAATTCATAATTTCCTTAGCACTAATCTTAATGAAAAACCAAATAATCGTATATTCAAGCTTCGAAATCCCTTAAAAAATATACTTTTTTTAAAAATCATATTAATTATTTCCTATTTTTAATTGCCATAAATAAGGAAAAAAACTTAAATGGAAAAAAATTAAAAATTTAAATCATATTTGCACTCAAAATCTCATAAGAAAAAAAAAAGAATTGCCGAATTAATCAAAACCCTTTGATTTCTCTCCACCAATAAATTCTTCAATAATTTCCTTTGTAAGAAAATAACATTTGAGCTACTCAATATAAAGAGCTTCCTATCAAAGAACCGTTCAACCTTTCTTCTTCTTCTTCTTCTTCCTTCGATCTTCTTCTGATTTCGGGCCATGGGTTCGGGTCTCGGGCCGGGCCTTCTCTGTTTCGCTCTGTTCGCAATGGTGTCGGAGGGGTGCAATATGTTCAACGGAAGCTGGATCGTGGATGAGTCGTACCCGCTTTACGATTCGGAAAACTGCCCGTTTATAAGGAAGGAGTTTGATTGTGTGAAGTATGGGAGGCCTGATAGGGAGTATTTGAGGTATAGATGGCAGCCGGATGGTGAGTGCGTGCTGCCGGCGTTTGATGGGATGGAGATGATGAGGTTGTGGAGGGGGAAGAAGGTTTTGTTCGTGGGGGATTCATTGAGCTTGAATATGTATAATTCGATGCTTTGCTTGTTGTATGCGGCTGCTCCGTATGGGAGGTTGAACTATGTTGATAATGGAGTCCTATTTGAGGTACTCTCTCTCTCTCTCTTCTTTTCTCTCTCTTTTCTCTCTCTCTTCCTATTTGATGTACTCTCTCTCTCTCCCGAGCAATTATTAGGTCCTTTCACTGGATGCAGAGGAAGGTTCGGTTTTAGCCAAAAATAGGTAAAAAGTGCAAATACCGAGTTTTTTGAAAAACTCGGTATTTTTTCAAAAAACTCGGTATTTGCACTTTTTTAGGCAAAACCGAACCTTCCTCTAGGTCCTTGCACCGGACAAAATAACTCCTCTCTCCCTTCTCTTTCTCTCTCTTCCTATTTGATGTACTCTCTCTCATTCTCTTTCTCTTTCTCTTTCTTCCTATTTGAGGTTCTCTCTCTCTTCCTATTTGAGGAATTCTCTCTCCTATTCTCTCTCTATTTTGATAAGTTTGTAGGTAGTATTTCTATTATTTTTTTGGAAGGATAAATAAAAACAAAGAATGTTTGGTTGAGCTTTATCTTGAAATTATTGTGAAAGAGATAAGAATAAAATATTATTTATTGTCTTATTTATAAAATATAATGAGTGGTATTATAATATTTATCTTTATTATTAGTTTTAGTATTATTATTATTTATTTATTTTTTAATTAAATAGATATATTTAATTAATATCAAGATAAAGAAGGATTTATATAAGAATTGTGGAATCCTTATTTTTTAATGTAAATAAACAATAGTTTAAAAATAAAAACCACCTAAGTTTTATTTAAATGTTAAATATTTCATATTTTTTTTCTAAAGTTTGACTAAGTTTTAAAAATCCCACTTAAAATTTAAAAATCCTGCAGCCCGCTCGGCTCGTGAGCTCGCGAGCCAGCTCAAATAAATATTAATATTTTTAAAATAATTTATTGAATTTAATAATTAAAAAAATTAATAAAAATCATCTAAGTTTTATTTAAATGTTAAACATTTCATAACTTTTTTTTTTCTAAATTTTGACTAAGTTTTAAAAATCCTGTCTAATTTTTAAAAAACCGGCCTAAATTTTAAAATTTCTACCCATGGCTCGCGAGCCGGCTCGAGCTCATTTATAGTGAGACGAGCTCGAGTTCGAGCTAGAATTTGAGCTCGCTTTCCAACTAACGAGTCAAGCTCGACTTGACTCATTTGCACCCCTAATTATATAAAGAAAGCTCACTATATTTTGGTTGTAGGTGGGATTACATTCAAGATGGAGACCTAATAGTGAAGGACATGGACCGCACATTAGCGTTCTCTAAAGCTCTAACTACTTGGGCTAATTGGGTTAGAGCCACCATTGACCCCTATGATAAGAAGGTTTTCTATCAAGGAGTCTCTCCTTCCCATTACCAGTGAGTTCAATGTGCCAAATGCCTTATTTATTTTTTTTTAATAAACAATTAAAGTATTGATTTTTGGCATAATTTAATAAATATTTATAATTTGTTGTAGATGTTAAATAATTTTTTAATATATTGAATAATTTAATAGTAAATTTTTATTGAAAAGTGATTGTGATGATTTGTTAAAGAGGATTTCTTTTTTGATTGGGTAAAGGAGATGAGCTTTGCTTTATTGGATTTGATGGTTTTTTCATGCTCTTTATGGGAACAATTAGGTAGGATGTCTATTTCAAGAGCAGTCTTTACCGTTAGTATTGGTTTTTTCTTTCTTCATTGGTTGTAGTAAATGAATTGGCATGCAAATTAATGCTAAGAGGTCTTCAATTTGCACACTCAACGAGGACTTTTTTTGGTCTTTTAGAGAAATTATTCTGTGTGGAGTCCGGATGGTTCTGTTTAGATGGGAAGAACTATCCAGACATGTAAGTGTACACATTGTGTGCAGTTTTATTACACACAATATATAAACTCACATGTCAGAACGGTTCTTCCCGTCCGGACTCCGCACAGAATAATTTCTCCTCCTTTTAACCTTTAATGATAATTTGTCTATTTTTCTTAAGACAACCTTTTTTTTTAAATGGAATGTTAAGAATTAAAGCATAATCTTTAAACTTTTTTTTCAAATTACAACTCATTAATGAATTAAAATCAAAATATAAATTAGTCCTTTGAAAAAAAAAAGTTTGTCTCAAATAGGCGAGAAACACGCTATTTTCCTAAGATTACGCTATTTTCCTAAAAATGTTATGAGTAATTTTCTATTTCTTGAATTATGTTAGAAGAAGTAGTATGGAATTTTAGGAGAGAAAAAAAATTACTATTTTTAGGCGAAATATGCTTTGTTGGTTCCCTTTGAAGAGATGCTGACATGGTAGCAAAAAAATTTAGCATGTAGGCATATAGTTATACTATGATTTTAGGCTTAAGAAGATAGTAATGCTACATTACTACCAATACATAATCCTATTATATAGTTATAGAGAGGAATCAAAATATTTATAATGAATAATTTTAGGACATGCTTCAAAGCTAAAAATAGAGATACATCTAAGAAAATTTTTTGCCAATAGATTGGTTATTTATGATAAGCCAGATAGAATACGGGCGATAAGATAACATGCAAGAACGAGAGTTAGTCTCTTTAAGGCTCGTCATGGATGATAACAGAGAAGGAGATATCGAAGGAGTACCTTCAACAACCAATCTCTTCAGAATAACAATCTTTTCACACTTTCAAAGGTCTTATGAAGATAAATCTAGGAGTGTCAATTTTGGGTCAATGGGTCAGATTCGGGTCGAATCCGAAACTGATCCGGCACTATTTGGGTCAACCCGAACCTGAACCGTTTTTAAAAACGGGTCAGGTTTCAGACCCGAACACGACCCGATTTGGGTCCGGGTCAACCCGACCCGACACGAATGACTCGGGGTTGACCCCAAATTTCTAGTTTTCGGTCAAAAATCAGGTCAATCTTCGATTTTCGGGTAAAAAACGGGTCAATCTCGGGTTTTCGGGTCAAATATGGGTTTTCGTGTCACTTTCAGGTCAATTTCGGGTTGCTGGATCAACCCGAACCTGACCCGATTTTTAAAACCGGTTGACGGGTCGCGTTCGGGTCGTATTTCAGGTCGTGTCAAGAATTGACACCCCTAGATAAATCCTTTGTGAATACAATTATCATGAATTCATCTTTTTTATCTTAATACTATCAACCATGCATATTCAACCTCATTCAAACCTTATGCTTCATTTGGGAACACTTTCTTTCTGTTTTTTTAATAAAATTTTTTTATGAAGTAGAAATATTTTTTTAATAAATTTGTCCCAAATCAAGTCGTAGGCTTCGTTTGTGATGGCTTTCTTACTGCTTCCTAAAGCAGTTTGTTAGCGCAAAATTTAAAATTTTTATTCTAAAAAGCTGTTTTAACCTCTTATTTTTTACCTTACCAGTGGTAGTGATTGGGGTAAATCCTTCTCGAAGAGTTGCTCGGGAGAATCAGAGCCGTTGGATGGATCAAAATACAGATATCAGCAATCGCCACAAGAAGCCATAGTGAAAGAAATAATCCCGAGAGAAATAGTCACATTGCTCGACATCACATTTCTCTCAGAGCTGAGAAAGGATGCTCATCCTTCCAAATACAGTGGAATCAGAACCAGAAATGACTGTAGCCATTGGTGCCTTGCTGGCTTGCCTGATACTTGGAATCTGCTTTTGTATGCGTTTCTTATACAGTAATTTTATTCTGATTTTTGCTTTCAGAAGAAAAAAATAAAAGAGAGAGAGAGAGAATAAATATAGATTTTTTATGGAGAGAAATTTAAATTTTCTATTTTTTTTTTATTTGGAAAAAATGTGTAAGAGGAAATAAAGATGATAATATTATTGTTTGAATAAAATAGTATAATTTTAGTTTATTTTTCTGGTTTTCTTTAGTTGGGAGATATCTTAGTATTAATTACGTTGTGAGCTTTGGTTGTGAAGGTTGGGTGATCCTATGATTAGTGTCTAATTGAGATTTGATGGCCCTAGTATAAGCCTTTGATGTTCAAATAAGTAATTAAGCAGTTAGGCCTATGGAACCTAATGATATATAGTTTGATAAATCTGCTCAGTAATCTGTTGTATGACATGATAAATTTTTATGTTAATCAGTTATATATATAGGATAGTTGAAAAATATGTTGGTATAGAAATATCAAATTTATAATTGGATCATCAGTGAGAGGCTTGAGGTTTTGAAATGAAAATAGATTAATTGATCATTAATGTCTTTCCGAGTTTTTTTTTTTTCGCTATATTTACAGTGTATACGATTTTAAGAATCTATAAATAATGCCACACTCTTTACATGAAAGGGATGATGCTTTAAGAGAGTTTAGAGAAATAAAGAATCCCAGAGCTCAACTCGAGCACCACCGTTATATCATCGCTCGACTGTAGTCGTTAGACCACCACTCTATTGTTGTTGTGGACCACCATGCACTTGACTACTGCCAGATTGCTGACATCGAATGCTCGCCATAGTTAGATCACACCCCTTGATTGCCTCCATTGGACCAGAACCAGATAGCCACGGTCTAACCACTATCTCCAGACTACCATTGATAGATTGCTATTGTTGTATTTCCTCTTGATTGTCGTTATCGAACCACCAGTACTCAACAACCACTGTGGATCCTCTGCCTGACTATCATCATCGGGTCATCGTATGACTCTACTGCTAGAACAGTACCACTATTAAATTAATTGCTGCCTAGCCTCCTTTGTCAGACCACCACCATGATCGCACCACTGTTGTCAGATAACTATAGCCCAAAAATCATCGCCAGGCCGTCGTCACTCGTCCACAACCAATTAAACGCTTCTCATCCCCTATAGACTTTGCAAGATTTTCAACTAGCATCTCATATCGTTGTAATTCCACCTCTAACTTAGAGATTGACAATTCTCAGTAATTAACAACTCAACAAGTGAAATTATTTTAGCCATATATATATAATGAGAGAGAGAGAGAGAGCCCAGCAGCCAACTAAATACATAATAAAGGGACCACCAAAAATAAATGCAATAGATAAAAAATAGAAACAGTTCAATAAACTTATCTGCAGCCAGAAAATAAGTTGTTCACAAGCTTCATGCGAGTCTGAAGCAGTTATAGCTCTCCAAAAGTAGTCGTGAGCATTACAAATTTTTTAACTTTTGTAAAAACTTTTTTTATTTTCTTACAGCTATCACATTCTAGCTGATGTGAGCAGCAATAAGAAAAGTATTATCAAACATAAGTGTGTACTGAAAATCTAAAAGGAAAATTATGAAAGAACTATCCCAACTAAACCCTTAGTTTCATTTTCCCATGGCGTCTTCTTCTGTGCGGAGACCGGACGACAAGAATTGTCCAAATTTGATGCACCTTAGCTGCTCTTTTGCTACACTTTTGCAAATACTTAGCAAAAGGACATCAAATATGCATTCATAATTGCATATTTGCTGCAATTTTGCTGAGTATTTATAAAAGCTCAGCAAAAGAGTAGTTAAAGCACGAAAAATATCCTACTAATTGAAAATTGTTGTGCTTTTGCAAATATTCTGCAAAAGGGCAGTAAAAGTGCATTCATTGCATATTTGTTGTCCTTTTGTTAAACATTTGTAAAAATACAGTAAAAAATAACAAATCCGGACGGTTCTTCCGATCTCTGCAAAGAATAATTCTCCTTCTATTTCTCATGGACTGTTCTCGCCGTCCGGTTTCAGCTATTTCTCATGTCCGGACCACAGAATTTCCTCTTTCCTTCTTCTCCTACCCTCACTTCAGTTCACAGAAGCACAAGGCTTAATCTACCATAACTCTACCGATAAACGTAACCGCTAAAGAGAAGAGTAAGCTGCAATTTATCTATTTCATGGAGGCTGGGTTTTTGATTCCTCTTATCCCCTTTATGATTTATCTTCTTCCTCATTCATTGATTCAGAGTTCAACTGACAGAAGTATGGAAGATTGGAAGATTGTGACTTTGTGAGCTTGCAGGGTTTCGATGTTGCAGTATTATATTAATTACTAAAAAATTATTATTATTTAGAATGATTAATGGTAATTAAAAATTTCTTTTAGGGTTTAGTCATGAGATCATAGCCTAAACATTAATGATATATGTGGATAAATTTAATTAACAAACAAAATTATTTTTTAAAGGTATCAGCTTTCACCAACTACTATACTATATTGAGATGTGAATCAAGCGATCTTATAATTTTATTCTGAGGTCTGAAATGGAATTCAGAAGTGGCTTTCATAAAATTTGATGATAGAGATTTCTTGTGGAGATGGAGGTGGAAGATAATTATACTTGTTGGGAACTCCATAAGCTTGAACCTGTGGGAATCTCTACATCAAGTAGTTGCTCTCTCTCTCTCTCTCTCTCTCTCTCTCTCTCTCTCTCTCTCTCTCTCTCACACACGGATTTTTATTAGGTTCGGACACCTGACATAGCTCTACATTCGGATGCCAATAAAATGTCGCCACGTGCTCTTACTCTTTACCGCGCGGCCCGACGACCCGACCCGGACCGGAACCTAATATTGCTATGTATTAGCTGATTTGTACAGGCCAGGGTATTGCTAGGTTTTGCTTGGTAACGAGAAATACAATTCTGTCAAGACCAATACCTAGCAATACCGAACAATACCCCGGTTTTGCTAGGTATTTCTCGGTATTGCTAGGTATTGCTCGGTATTGCTCGGTATTGATCTTGACAGAGCGGTATTTCTCGTTATTGTCAAGCAATACCTAGCAATACCGAGCAATACCTAGCAATACACGAACATAGCAATACCGGGTTTCCGTTCTGGGTTAGGTCGTCGGGCCGCGCGGTAAGGAGTCAGAGCACGTGGCGACATTTTATTGGAGTCCGGATGTAGAGCTACATCAGGTGTCTGGACCTAATAAAAAATTCTCAAACACACACATAATTTAAGGTCTATTTGAGACCGTTGAAGTGTGTTATATAGGTGATTGTGAAGTTGCCATGAAAAAAGTAGTTGCAAAAAGTAAAATTTTATTGTAAAAATTTTGAAAAACATGAAGAAGATAATAGCAAAGCGAAATTATTGTTATTGTCTAATAAATATAGTTAGAAAACTATCCCAAATAGACCTTCAATTTCTCACCTAGTAGTTTTCCGCAATTTATTAATAAATTGTAACTGATTTTGAAATTGAAAGTTAATTAGGGCCGATCATAAATGGTTAATTAATTATCACTCGACCTCCTATTGCCCTAATTTCTCATTTCAATGTTCTATTCCATTCGACCACAAAGCTCATTTTATGACTTTATAGATACATCTCTATTTCTCTCTAGCTCTCTAACTCTCCTTCTTTTGCCATTGACAATGAGAGAATATAGATGTATTTACAGAGTCATCGTAGAATGAGCCATCACAAATAAGCAATATTTTGGTAGTGATCGCTTTGCTTGATTTTATTTTTGGGACATATCAGCTATTAGCGCAAACTCACACACATCACATATGCAAGCATAGAACCTAAGACCTCTTAGTTAATAGCCAATGTTTCCGACCAACAGATCAAAAAAAGTTGCGTCATTTTGCTTGATAGAATACCTTCCTAATTTTGACGACCACTTTTGCTAAGGAGGTTTATCAAATCATAATTCAAATTTAATGCATCATTAATGATATACTTCTACTAAAATATTGACTATTAGTTAAAAAAAATTGGTGAAGTTTTATTCAAAACATATGAATATTATTTGAAAATTGAGAACTTCACAAAAACTCTTATTTTTACTTAAACTCTTAAAAGTAATCTAAATAAAATCTTCATTTCATTATTACACCTTTTTTTTTAAGATTAGTTTTTTTTAGGGGAAACTCACGGAGGGGCCTACGCGTTAATATAAATAAAAAAATACAAAGTCTTTAGGAGGACGATCAGCTAACTAATGCTCAAAGAGCTACAAAAAAAATTTAAGGAAAGAAAACATAAGAGCCAAAAGTCCACTATAACTCCAAAATACAAAATTGCCTAGATACAATCTAAGGCGGCACCAAGAAAACGCACAAAAAAGAAAGATTAAAATATAATCAATCAGCACAGTCTTTCTGCCAAAAAATGACGTCCTCCACACCAGAGTAAATCTCCAACAACCAATCTTGCAAAAGAACAAAACAAAAATTCAAAAAGAAAATACAACAAAGAGAATGCAAGTACAAATAATACTTAAAAAGATAAGCACAAATATAAACACCATTACAGATAAGATAATAAATCAAATAAGCTACGAACAGAAATGCCCCTAGCAGATATAGCCAGAATCGTGATCCCAAAATTTCTAAATAAGTCAGTTGATAAGCAAACAAACTAACAAATAAAATGGAAAGAGCCAGGCAACGTATTAGCCTTCGTAAAAGAACCACGCACAGGATGGGTTAATGCACACCCAGAAAACTTTTTGAATGATTAGCAAGACCACTCCTATAGGAGAAAAACTAGTAAGCCCCAGGAAGCCAACCATAGAAAAATAACTTCCAAAACCTGAGCCACTACCAAAAAATGAGTCAAATCCAGCAAGAGGAATCAATTGACACCCAACCAGTAAGAAGAAATAAGTAACTAGACCAATAACCAATTAAAATAGATGAACAAACATATTATGAAGAACATCCTGTAGTAGCCAGCCCACCAAATATCAACCCAAAATGAAATAGTCCCGACAACAAAAAACCACCCAACCACCAGCCAGCTAAACAAAAACAAAAAAGAAAGTAAACCGAGTCAGCCAATACATAAGGAAGGAAGCCCACCAGATCTTCCCCATCAACAAGATCAGAGGGAACATGATAGAAATACTATCAACATACTGTAATGATGTCTAGATCTCAACAACAAAAATTATATAAAGTTAGTTTTAAATTCCATAAAATTATATTTTAAAAAACATCATTTTGCATGTATGTTTTATTATGATTTTATGAGCATACAAACTGATTTAAGACATGATGAAATTATTCATGTAGAACAAAATATAACATCAACATAGATATCTTAATTATCAAAATTAATCTTATAACAATCTAATAAAACACCATGTCAATAAAAGCTCTTTTACTTGATGCTCCTTATATATGAAATTGTGAATTTAGCTATAAAGGTTTCGTTTAGGACTCCGATCTTGCTGCTTTCTGAAGCTGCTTTCTAGTATAAAATTTTTTAGTTTAACAAATTTTTGTACTAAAAAGCTATTTTAGAAAACAGGAAAAAAGTCATCTCAAACGAAGTCAAAGTTTAATAATAATGACTTTATTTACTATGTTGGAATCTACGCTAAAAAGGTTTCTTGTTTGTTTTTTATACATTGGAAAGCATTTCTAAATCTACTGGAAATCTACATGAAAATTCAATTACCAATAATTTTTGGGTCATTTCCGGTGAATTTTCCGTCAAAAATTTATGTTTTCTCATAGTGAAGAGACACTTTAAGAAAAGTTAGATGAGAATATTTTGACAAAAAATTATTTATAATGGATTTCAAAAGTTTTTGAATTTATTTTAAGATTAATATAATATAAAATTAATTGATTATCCATACTTCATATTTATCAAAAAAATAAATCTAATTTTTTTGAAATTCATAGTGATACCAAATTGATGCTCATTTGGCTTAGAACAAAGACAAAAGAAGCACAAAAAGGAAACCCTAGCTTTCTAATAAAATCAATTTTACCATATAATGTTATTCTATTACTCCCCTTGGTGTTTTATGCAATTCAATAAATGTTGTTGTACCAAGAAGCAAAAAAGACATGATAGGGAAGAACAAGGCCAACTCAACTTCTCCCCACATGTTATAGAATGGTACAGTAAAACCATTAAAGGCAAGAACAGTTGGAAGGGCTCACCCAAGCAAAATCACTTTCATGTAGTTGCTGCTTATAAAAAAGCTAATCATGAGTGGAACCTTCTCTTGTTTTAAATTTGCAGCAAGAACGCTTTGTTGAAAGTAGTGAAAAAATAACGGCATAATAAAAATTATAATTATAGTATTAAATATAAAGTAATAAGAAAGCTGTTCCAAATCAAATTTTGGGGTTCATTTAGAATAACTTTAACTTTTTGTAAGTGTGCTTATAAAGTTGTTATGAAGAAAGTAATTTTTTTAAAAGCTGCGGTGGAAAGCGTGTTAGTTTGTGTGGGATTTGATTGTGTCGATCAATTGAGTTGTATTGTTACCTTGAACCTCTGTTCGATCAATTTGTCATGCTCGCTGGGGAGGGAGTCCTCCCCTTGCTTAGGTTCGATTGCTTTGCACACAATTTTTTTTTATACAACACATTGGCATTGTGTATCTAAGAGCGCTGGCGCAGTATACCCGAGCTCTTTGGCGTTGTAGAGTTTGCTAGGAGAAATGATAGAGAGCGAAGCGCCGCAACACTGTTCAGTGTTGCAACACTGCGGGTTTGAGCGCTAGAGCATCATCAGATGGATCAGGAACAGAGGTTTGAGCTCCGTAGAGTTGCAAACTAGCGCCACAGCTTTTCGTGACGGACAAAACATTTTTCTTCACGTTTTTATTAAGAGTGGCGTCCCTTGATGTATTGTTATTGCTTTCTCTTGTGTTTTGAGTGTACGAATAGTCTAAGAGAGAAGAGAAGCAATTAGAGATCGAGAAATAAGAGATATATGTACAAAGTTCTTTCATTTTCCATTGAGGATTCCTTGGTGTGGAGTGGCTCCATGTTTTTTTCTAGATTTATGATTTTTCCATGTTAATTCGTGGTGTCATATTTTTTCCTCCGCATACTATTTTTTCTTGTTTGTTTCGTTGCATGGTTTACTCTTCTCCGTTGCCAACAAAGCGACTTCCCTGCACAAAAATTTCGTTGAAGGAACGAAAAAATAGTGCCCAAATAAAAATTGTAATTATAATTTAAAAAATAAAGCATTAAGAAAATTGTCTCAAATAAAATCTTAGCGATTCGTCTGGTCATGTGAGAAGTCAAATCCTTATAGTCAGAACTCGAAAGCTTACTATAGATGATTTTGAGAGATTATTTTTGTTCACCCGTTAAATAACTTATTGATGATGTGGTACATTCTGATTGACCTCCAAACGATATCCGATAACCGCACGTAATAATTTCACGACAGACAAACAGAGACAAACCACATTGCTCTTATTGTAATCACTAGGGACACACAATGCTATAAATTTGATGGGCATCCTCCTGGATATAAATAGAGGCAAGAGTAGCCTTACAAGAACCAATCTATCGCTATCCACCCAAACAATCAACCGATGATACTAATTCCAGTAAACAAGACGAGGGATTCCTACGCAGCTATGCTCTTTATTTTCTCTTATATCCTCTCTAAAACATTAGTGTTTGTCTGTTTGATTCATAAGCTGCAATGCCAAATTATTTTTGCTCCTCTGATTGATATATGATTTCTAGATATATATTTGCTCATTCTGAATCTAGTTTTTGAATTTCTCCTTATTTTTTAGTGATTAGCTTTATATTTTAAGCATTACCCCTAGGGGTGTCAAAATCGGGTTACGGGTAACCCGACACTGACCCACTATAGTTTGACATGACCTGAACCAACCTGTTTTTGCAGGTGTGCCAGAAATTTCAACCAGGATTCGACCCATTAGGTTTCCGGGTTGTCCCGACTCGACACGAAAAACTGAGCGGGAGCATCCGATTGCGGGAGGGAGGCTTAGGTTGGCTGAGCGAGTGTCTGCATGCGGCTGCAGCAGTCTCGACACCCGACGACGTCTCGCCTATGAGAATGCAAGAGGGAGGAAAGCAAACTGGAGCTTCTTCTCCTGCGGCAGCTGCGAAGAAACGGAGCTTCTCCTCCGCCTTTGACGACCTGAAAGATGCCCTAGTCCTCATAGACTCACACGTCACCATAGTTTGACGGCGAATCTCCGATCTGAAAGATGCCCTAGTCCTCTGACGACCTGAAAGATGTGGGCAAAAGCAGGTCATTTGCAGGCTAAATCAGGTCAAAATTGCGTTTTTAGATTGTCCCGAATCCGACCCGTTCTTAAAACGAGTTGACCCCTTTCTGTTGGAGCTCACTGTAATTCATATACATTTATCCTCGTAAAAAAATAAAAAATCTTATCAAATCACGTGCGAATTATATAATTAATTTAGTTATTTAATTTAAGTATTGATCCATTCCAACAAAAAGATATCCCCGTCATCTCTTCTTCTCCTACTAACGTCAACACGCGTCCACCATACCGCACACGTGTCATCTTCTTCCTCTCCCCTGCATCCCATTTGCACTTCCCCTATCTTCTTCTCTCCCCATAAAAATCTCAACTTTACTTCTCCACTTCAGATTAAACACCTCCATCTCTCTCGAAACCACAACAATGGCTTCCCAGCAAGAAAAAACCTTCAACAACATCTCCAACGAAGAAGAGCATGGCCACCAAGGCCAAGAAGCAACCACCATATCTCCAGAAGAACTAGGACCATACAGAGCCACGGCACAGCAAAACTCCATTGACGCCATCAAAGCTGCCGAAGACCGCTATGCCAAAGCCAAGGAATCCGGCACCACGGCTTTTCAACAAACCAAAGAGGCCGTCGTCCATGGAGTCGGTGCCGGAACTAATTACCTCGCCGGAAAGGGATATCAGGCGGCGGATTACACGGTGGAGAAGGGAAAGCAGGGGTATGAGTATGCAAAGGAGACGGCTATAGCCGCCACGCAGAAGACGGCTGAGCTCGCAAAGCAGGCGGCAGTGAAGGCCAAAGATGTTACCGTTAGTAGTGGAGAGACTGCATGGAATTATGCGACGGGCAAAACTGGGGAGGTAAAGGAGGCAGCTTTGGAGGCAGAAGGAAGAGAAGAGGAGACCGGTGGTGTTAAGGTATCTCCAAACTCTTTAATGAATAAGCTTTGATTGTTTGATAAAAAAATGATTCAGGGATGATGTTGTTGGGCGCAGGAGAAGCTTGGGGAGCGAGTTGAAGAGGACAAGAACAAGGTCGGCGAGAGTTTGTTCGGAGAAGTGGAGAAGGAAGAGGGGAAGGGAGGAGTAAAGAGAGGAGGGGAGGCAGGGCTGTGAAGAGCAGGATTTGAATGAGTGGGTGATGGCGATGGAAGACGACTGGACAAAAAAGATTGAAGCTTGATTTTCTTTTCTTCTTAGTCGTTTTTTGTGTTTTAGGGTTTGAAAGTGTTTGATGATGTTTAGTTTTGATGAAAGAGAGTGTTTTGCTTTGTTGTTTTTTTTCAATTATATGTGATGTGCAGAATAAAATTTTGTGTGGGATATTTTAATTTAATTATTATTATTTTGAAATGTTAGTGTTTTTTATTTGGAGACAGTAGGAGTGTAGTCGGGTCGAGTTTGGGCTTTATCGAGCTAGGCTCCTCAATCTAAAAGCGAGGTCAAACTCGAGCTTGTCCCACCGTAATCGAGCTCGAGCTGGCTCGCGTTCCATGGGCAATATTTTTTAAGTTTAGGTGGGGTTTTGCAAAATTTAGGTGGGATTTATAAAACTTAAGTAAGATTTAAAAAATTTAAGTAGGATTTAGAAAAAAATAATGTTTAACATTTAAATAAAATTTAGATTGTTCTTTTAAATTTTTTTAAATATTTAAGTTTAATTAATAAAAAAATTTATTTGAAATATATTAATAATTATTTGAGTTGGCTTACGAGCCAAGTTGACTTGAGCTCGAACTCAAGCTCAACTCATAAGCTTCATAAGCTCGACTGGTGAGCCCATAAAGGAAGTGAGTCAAGCCGTCTTGCGAGCCAGCTTGGCTCACTTATACCCTTACATTTAGGTCAATTAAGGTTTCATGTGGGACAGCTTTAGGAAAAATTATTATGTGCGGAGGCGAATGAGAATGTGCCACATCATCCAATATACGGTGCATTGGATGATATGAAGAGGTGCCATATCATCCAATGCACCGTATATTGGATGATGTTGCACATTCTCATTCGCCTCTAGAGGCGTTCGGCTTCCGCACGTAATAATCTCTCCAACTTCAGATCACTAATTTTTTCCTGATTTCAAGAAATTTTTTTAAATAAAAACAACTTTTCAAACCCGTAAGAAAACTTAGAAAAAAAAAACCCAGTAATAAAAACATCTCAAATGAAGCTGATGATTTTCTTACTACTTTAAGTAGTAATAAAACAGTTACAAATGAAACATAAGTCACTCATACACATATCACATGATCAATACTCAAACCCAAATTTTCTTATTTGATAGTCAAATTTTCCTACCAACAGATTAAGATGAGCTGCATAAATAATTGTGTTGAAATTGGCAGAATGAAATCTTAATACTGACAATAACTGATGTCTTTTTGTGATTGTATTACACTAATCTCTTTAATTTTTTTTCAATTAGCATCGAAGTTGTCGTTCTATTATTTTTTTTTTTCTGAGAAATTTTATAACTCCTAAAAGTCTATTATAATCTCATCATTGCACACTCTATTTCGTTTACTTATGATAATTTATGGGGCTATTCAATTTAAAGTAAAAACTAAAAAGAGTCAAGTGTAGGGGTTTAGAAAAATGTTATTCTTTGGGATGTAAAAAACATCATGAAATTTATCATTTAATTCAATTTTGATGTATTTAAAAATTATTATTTAGTGCTTCTAGCCACAACGAACCACAACCTGCTGCCCTGTCGCCACATCCGTAATAGGTCGTTGTTGCCATAATCGTTATAGCTCGCCGCTTCATTACTGTTGCTCTTACTGTCTTCCATTGCTGCTGCTACTGTTTTGTTTTACTTTGTACTAATTTTACTTTAAGCTAAAAAAATAATCACATGCATTTATTTTATACTTATGTAACATTTATTATTTGAATAATAAAAAAAAAAGTAAATTTGAATTAGAAGATGCATTATAAATATACCAAAATTTTACATTATATTTATGTATTTCAAACAAAATATCAAAAATCAAAATCCCAAAATTTAGAGTACTTCTCAGTGGGGTGTCAATTTCGGGTCACGCGTGGGGTTCGGGTCGAACCTGAAACTGACCTGGCACTATTCGGGTCAATCCGAGCCCGAACCGTTTTTCAAAACGGGTCAGTTTTCTTGACCAAAACCCGACCCGCTTCGGGTCTGGGCAACCCGACACGACCCGAGTGACCCATTTCCAACAAAAAATTGCTAATTTTTAGGTCAAAAACGGGTCTATCTCCTCTTTTTCGAATAAAAAATGGGTCTATCTCATCCTTTTCGGTAGGTAACCCAAGTGGACCCATGGCTTGGGTCCACCAAAGGGTCTACCCTAAGATCCCAATGGGCAGTCTTAGGGGTTTGAATTAGCTTGGGAAACCCTTGGTTAAAGGGTTTGAATGAGTAGAAGTGTATGGGAGGTTTGGTCAAACTTAGTTTACTTTGTCAACCAAGTTGACTTAGGGTCAAGGGTTGGGTCCATTGAGTTCAAATTGATTACATATACTCAATGGAGGTGGTTTCAACTCAAGGGGATGTCATTTGGTTTGAAATGAGTGTTTAAACCCTTAAGGGCTACTTTGGTCAACCAGGTCAAACCAAAGTGTGAGTTTTGGTCTAATGTGTTTCTAATGATACTTAAGATCCATGGGGGTATGTTTTGTAGATTTGTATGGGAAGGCCATATTGAATTTTGGGGAAAAGACCAAAAACACCTTTAAAGGGTATTTTGATTATTTTGACCCATGGTCAAACCTGGGTCAACCTGGGTCCATGAAAGTGTAGGTTACTGACCAAAAAGTCATGAAAAAGGTTATGGGTATGGTTAGAAGGTTTGAAAAGGATCCCAAGGCTAAATTCCACTGAGTGATAAGTCTAGTGGCATAGCCTATAAATATTTGAAGGATTTGCATCCTTTAGAAATCGTTCCAATTTATACGGTAAGGAACCTCAAAATGGGTTCAAATTTGGTGGGTTGATCTTAGAGACATATCTAAGAAAGTTACAATTGAAAGACCCCAAATTAGAGGTTATTTGACTGAGTTTCTAGGTGACAGAAAATTCACTCAAAAAAGATTTTAGGACTAAGGCCCTTAACCCTAGGATTTGATTTGAAATGTTGGATTTGGATTGGATTTTGGAGTTGAGTGGTTGTGTTTGAATTATCTACATCAATGACAACCAAATTAATGATTGAGGTTGCTTATATATGATTTGAAAGTTGATTGAAAGGCTAGACTAAAGATTGGATTGAAGGATAAAATTAGATTTGATTTTTACTGGGACCTATATGGTTGAGAAGTGGACATCCCCCAATCATCAGGTCACCAAAAAAAAAAAAAATTCAGATAGGTCTTAGTGTCCTCATACAGAAATGAGGTAAACATGCCATAAGAGAGCTAACCAACATAAGGGAAGCCAATAACACATTAGATGAGAAAGTTGCCAGTGTCAGCCAGGGAGTTGCCGAAGCTGAAAATGGATGTGAACTTTTGTGGTGAGGAGTGAGAGAACTGGAAGAATAAGATGATGAAGGAGAGGAGAAGGGAACTAAGGTACATTATATCTCAATTACAAGTTGATGAATTTTTTTTTTCCCACAAAATTATGTCACGCAACTAACATAATCTTGTACATTGCTACTTTCTTTTATAATACAAATGAAGCTTCAGCTCCTCTCCAAAATTTATATCCACACTATTATTTTAAAAGTGACTTTAGTTTTCATCCATATCAAATCCTGATCATTCATATTAGTTGTTCAAATTAAATCTTAGCCTTTAAAAATTAAGTTTCTTGTGCTTCTTCTAAAATTAAATATTACTATTCATTTAAGACTCTCCCCTATTAAATAAAAAAGAGGTACGTTTATTGCATGAGAATTTGGTTAGAGTTTGGTTGGCCGTCTCCATCAGTCACATATTCTGTAACAGTTTTTAAAGATCTTTTTGATTTTTCATTTTCTGCTATTTAATTAAGTACTTTATTTGGTGCATTTGTTATTCAACTGTAAATGCTTTGCGTGTTAAATCTTAGTAGAAAATTTCAGTTTTTCTTTTAATTAGACATAATGAAAATTTTAAATGATAGATTTATAATTAACGATTCACAATTAGTAAAAGTAAATTATAAATAATACAAAATTGTAAGTTAATATAATTGAACTAATTAATTTACTTGGATTTATTAAAAAATCTATCAATTCCCTCCTAATAAAACCAAATAAATAGCGATAAAGAAGAGAGAGAGGAGAAGGGGGGGGATGGTCCAGTGGGGGCTGTGCCTCCACAGCCTCCACTGTAGATCCGGCCACTCCTGGTTATACTTAGATTTTGTTTGGGATAACTTTTTACTATTTTCAAAAGCAACTTTCTTGTGTAAAAGTTTCTATTTCAAGAAATTTTTATACTAAAAAATTATTATAAAAAGTATTCAGAAAACTATCCCAAAAGAAACCTTAATATTCCAAGGTAACTCTTCTTAGCACTAGAAGAAAATATTATTATGAAGATTACTTGAGAGAGACTATTACGACGTGTCTAACATTGACCTTTAATGTAGCTGATCTTAAGGCTCTAATAGAGGCCAAAATAAATCCAATTGATAATACCAAGAGTTGTGGATCATTCTATAAGAATTACAAAAAGCTTTCTTTATCATGCTCTTGACAAATTATTTATTTCAAAAATAAAAATAAATAAATAAGCTAATCAATTTTCAAATATATTCATTTATATTTCAAGCTCTCAAAATTTTATCAATACTTATTCAACTATTGAAACAAACAAATCTTATATAAACTATTTCATAAAAAAAATACTTAGAAAATGATTCCCCCATTTGATGATATTTTTATTAAGGAAAATAATTAAATTACATAATTGCTAATCATACAATGATCAAAATATTTTGAACTTATTGAAAAGAAATTAAAATGAAATATGACCATTTATTTTCCCATATATAGAAAAATAAATAGTAAAATTTATTTCCGTATTATCACCAAAGGATATATAATACAGAGAGACATACTTAGCTTCTTTTGGGGCAGCTTTCTTACTATTTCTTAAAGCTATTTTTTAATAAAAAATAATAAAAAACGAAGCCTTAAACTAAATGATGATCAAATGATAAGAGGGAGATCAGTGAAGGAGCCATCCAACAAGCCATTAGCAATATGGTGATAGGCAGCTTCAGTGAGGTGAAGCCCATCCCAACTAAGGTAAGTCGAGGGGTCTTTGCATACATGGGATCCTTCACTTCCACAAGGAGCCGTTAGGTTGAAATTATATTGGCCCCCACTTCCACAACATGCTTTTTGGGTCCCACTGTAAAAACCTTCATAGAAAAAAAAATATATTTTTATCATTAAAATTCGTGCAAAGCATATGAAAATACAGTAATAAAACATTGGAGAATTTGCATTTATTCATAAATGCTATGGTTTGAATTGATATTTAGACAATGAGATTAATGAAGTGTAAAAAATTAAGATATTATGGTCAAAAGTGATCAAGTTATATCTGAAAGCCTATTAATTTGATCTGAAAATCAATTATTTTTGCATTGCACTAATTTCAAAGCATATATTTAAGTTCTTTTAATTGTATTCTAAACAAAATTTTATTGAGAATGTCTTGACATGATTTTTGTTCATACATATATTTATCAATGATATTTAATTTATATATATATAGAGAGAGGTCAGAAAGAGCTCAGGTTGGAAAATTCTTCAATTTATATATATATCAATTTTATTTTTTTTTTAGAAAAATAAATTTTTTTATTATTTTGAGCACCTTCAATAAATACATTTGTCCAAATTTTACGAAGAAATTTTTATTTTATATATTATATATATAATTTATTTTAAGAAATTTTTTTATTATATATATATATATTTATCAAAGATTGCTCACCAAAATGGCGTGGTGAATGTACAAATTGCAAAAGCGCGCTGTAGTAATCCGCATATATGATTCTTGCTTCCGGGTGCTTTCTCCTCAGCTGCTTAATGGCCGATTTCAGAAGCTCATTGTGATACCTTGCAAGGTTGTTCAGCTTTATCAAACACCAATTCCGGTCATCATAATCCTCCTTCTCCATCGTGGCAAACAGAGTAAGATACAATGGCAAGCACCCTATCGGTAAGTTCCCTGGCACCAGCAGGTTTACAGCCCCTCTTTCTGTCAACCTCTGCAGAACACCCACAACATGTTCGACAATATGCCCCAAAGAATAATAAAATTGTGAAATTCAAATTTCTTTATTCACCTCAATGGCTTCTGCAATAGTCTGCACCACTTTGGGCACAAAGGAAGTTACCTCCGCTAAACTCTTACCCGCCACAAGGGGGAAATTGTAGTCATTTCCACCTATTTCTCCGACCAGGAAGAGTGATTTCTTGAAGTATTCGCTGCATTCTGTGAATAGGCCAGCGAAGAGCATCAGTTGGGTTTGGAAATTGAGGATTTTGGCTTTGGGAGAGTGATTAAAAGTTCACCTTGGGGAGTTTTGCAAAGAGAAGGTTTCAGCTCATCGAACCATCGGAGTTGGGTGCTTAGGGAATAATTTGTCCAGAGGCCGACGCCTATTTCCTGGAAAAATGCAGGATCCAAAGCTGTCGCGCCAGCGACGGCGAAGTTTGCACCTTGCCTGAAGTTTTCATGTGAAGCCAAGTATGATGGGAGAAGTGGAAGACCTTGGGACTCAGCTGTATATGATAAAATGTTTGCAAAGATATAGATACATAATTATTCTAACAAGTTAGGTTTTATTTGAGACAATTTTCTTATTGCTATCTAAAATTGCTTTTTAGCATAAAAGTTATAGTTAAAGAAAAAGTGTACTAAAAAATTGTTTTAATAAATAATAAGAAAGGTGTCTATCCGTTGCCACCACAAAAGGGAGCGCTTGGCGGCGTAACTAATCCCTCGGCGGCGAGGCCACCCACCGGCATCAGCCCACACTTGCTTTGCCCCACTGAAAAGGTGAGGCCGTAGTAGAGGGGATTCAAACCCAAGATGAGCGGTTCCCAACCGTACTCGCCCACCAACCACCCTAATCCTCGGTGGGTTATCACAACGATAGTTGTTTGTTCTTTTGTGATGTGATTTGTGATTGATCATTGAGATCAATTGTGACATGAAAGAGCTAAATTAGATATGTTTTTTTACTGCATTTATGAATAAAGCATTTATCTAAATCTCAATCCAGATACGACAGTATGAAAACAAATTGACAGAATTAATTTAGTTCCAATTGAAAGTTCTTGATTTATCAGTCGTTATAGACGGACATTAAAAAAAAAAGCTTCGACATTTTCAAAAAATCTCAAAATATTGAATATTTTCATTTTCTTGTAAATATACTTTTTATCAAGCATCATTTAGTTGGTATAGAGATATGTTAAAATGTTACCAATGAAGTCTACGACGAGACGGCCGTCGGAGAAACGACCGGTGGGGTGGTGGAAGTAGGTAATGCCATAAGGGAGATGACCGACGAAGGGGTAGGCTGCGGCGCCTAAAATGAGAAAGTTGCCTGTGTCGGCGAGGGAGTTGCCGAAGCTGAAAATGGAGGTGAATTTTTGTGGGGAGGAGTGGGAGAAGTGGAAGAATGAGATGATGATGAAGGAGAGGACTGCGAGCTTCATGGCTGAGATGATTTTTTTTTTCCTTCGCAAAATTATGTCATGCAACTGACATAATCTTGTTCATAAGTACTTTCTTTTATAGTGGAAATGAAGCTTCAGCTTCTCTCCAAAAAAAAAAGTCAAAGTCAATAATCTTCACAATTATTTATGAATTTCAGAAGGACAGGCCTGCAGTTGCAGCATTTTTTTTTTTTGAAAATTTTTAATATTAATCGTGCCAAAAATTACAGTATATATTAATTTTTTTATTATATATATTTTTAATAAATAGATGTGATCTTTATTAAATATTTAATGATTTTTTTTGTAATGAGGTGTAGCCCCACAAGATATGATATGTTTGAGATGATTGCAACTTTTTGTAACCCTAACAACCCTAATTACTATTTGGCAATTACTTTTTCATCGCTTTTAAAAAATTTTGTATCTGAAAGCTACTTTCTATAGCAGTTGTAAAAAGATTTTTTTTTTTACAACAACTTTACAATTAACTTTACAAAAAGTTGCAGCTGTAAAACTATTATGGAAAAAATTAATTTTTTGACAGTTATTATAAAAAAATAGCTTCTTAAGATAATTTTTTTAAAGCAGATAGAAAATAGTAATCAAACCAAACTGTGTAAGAAAGTTGTTCAAAATAGGAGAAATTATTCTGTGCAGACACTAGATTGTCCGGAGGGCAATCAGAAGGCGCCACATCATGGTACCCAGCACTGGAACCAAGCAAAAAAGTAATGTCACGTGTTCTTATTGGCCTCTGAACAGTGTCTGATCGATAGTTGTAAAATTATTATGGAAAAAATTAATTTTTTGACAGTTATTATAAAAAAATAGCTTCTTAAGATAATTTTTTTAAAGCAGGTAGAAAATAGTAATCAAACCAAACTGTGTAAGAAAGTTGTTCAAAATAGGAGAAATTATTCTGTGCAGACACTAGATTGTCCGGAGGGCAATCAGAAGGCGCCACATCATGGTACCCAGCACTGGAACCAAGCAAAAAAGTAATGTCACGTGTTCTTATTGGCCTCTGAACAGTGTATGACGTCGGCAAAGAATTATTTATCCCCAAATAGATCCTTAATTAGGGCTATTTGCATTTGCTGAAAAATAGAGAGAAAAATATAGTAAAAAAAAAAAAAGAGAGGATAAGGTGGGGATTGGGGAATTAAGAACTAGGCCAAGTCAACTTCTCCTCTCATTATAGAATGGTGGGGAAGAACAATTGTTAGGGTTCCCCACACGAAATATGATCACCTTCATTTAGTTATTGCTTATGAAAGCCTAATCATATATAAAATTAATTAATATCTAATTTGAAAAGTCGTTTACTATAAAGGCTTGCTCATATAATCTATTAATTTTATAAAAATTTGTCAGTTTCTTGCTCTAGAAAGTCAATAATAAATTCTAATTTAGTAAAATTCATAAATTATAATTTAGTGAAATTAATAAATTATACTTTAGTAAAATTACTAAGTAAAATTAGTACATTTTATAAAATTGTTGCGTCCTAGAGTTTTTGCGGCGGTGGAGAAATATAAAGTTTAGGGTCTTAGCATTGTACGAAGATCTAGCACGCACACATATGAAGAGAGTGGGTGGAATATTTATAGGAGACATTAGGAATTTTACATGGAAAATCCCTGAAAAGGGGGGAAACCATGGGGTCTAGCCTAATTTGAATGAATTCACTATTATTTGCAGTTTGATTACATAGGAGGCCCTTCATTGGAAGGAAGACCATGACTTTATATATGTAATAAATATACATCATATAGACTGTGTTACATGGTGGAAATAGGAAGAATCACTATTGACGTGTTCGCTTGGTTGGAAGGGCCATAGCAGGTGGGCGATGGAGGTCGGAAGGACTGTAGTCGATAGGTGACGTAAGCCGGAAGGACCGTAGTCGATGGCCGACGTCGACAGAGGTCATAAATACCGTTTTCAGGCAACGGAGGTTGGAAGGACTGTAGTTGGTGGGCGAGTTAAGTCAGAAGGATCGTGGTCGACGGGCTACGGAGGTCATAAATTTCTTTTATTTGATTAAGTACTTTTGATATGTCATCAAAAAATTATATTGATCAGACACAAATCTCGAGGCAAAAATCACGTTAAAAACTTCAAAAATTAATTTCAGGATCACCTGAACTCCGATTTAAGCAAACTTATAATCGAACTGATCTTCTCGGAAATACGAACCCAACAACATCAAATTCAACTCAATCCGAGTCCAAATGAGTCCAAATAAAAGACCCAAAGTACTGTTGGAAGGTTCAAACCATAATTCGAATTATCAAACGGTTTTCAAACATGACGTGCTTATAGTCAAACCGAGGGGCTCGACGAGGCAAATCCAACGAGCCCAAGATCATCGAATTCCGACACCACTAAGACATTCAAATGTCTGATGAACGATCCATAATCAAGGGATTCAATATCGGACGTCCATCCATTCCACTCCACCTTTGCCCTTGATCCTCCAATTTAAGGGTCATGCCATCTTCAAAAAACTATAAATAACGCCTCATTTATCTTGAGAGGGGACCCAAGCAAGAAGCAAGGGTCTCAATTGTAATCAACTGCAAATAATAGTGGATTCATTCAAACTGGGCTAGGCCCCGTGGGTTTTCCCCTTTTTCAAGGGTTTTCCACGTAAAAATCTTGGTATCTCATAAGTGCTTCACCCACTCTCTTTATATGTATGCGTGCTGAATTTTCGTACAAAATTACGACGTTAAATATTATACTTCTCTACCGCCATGAATACTCCGGGACGTAACAACTTTATTTGGTACATTCGTTATTCAACTGTACGATCTTTGCGTGTAAACATTCTCCTCCTACTGTTAGTTTTCTTCATTTGGTTGTGCTTCATTTAAATATTAATAGAAAATTTCATTTTTTTTTTAATTGAAATGAGGATTCTGATAGTAATTTTAAAACCTTTATAAACTAAATTAATTAAGCGAGTTTAGTTTCGTAATTATTATAATATTATAATTACTAATTAGTGTGTTAATCTATCAAGTCCTCGAATTAGTGTATTATTTTTATTTTTGCTGGTTATTTTATCTTTCATCTGTCAATTTGTTATCTTAATTAAAGATCTTTTTATTTTTCATTTTCTGCTATTTGATTAAGTACTTTATTTGATACATTCGTTATTCAACTATGCATGCTTTGCGTGTTAATCTTCTCCTCTTACTATTAGTTTTTTTCTTCTCTTTATCGGTTGTGCTTCATTTAAATCTTAATAGAAAATTTCAGTTTTTCTTTTAATTATACATAATGAAAATTATAAATAATAGATTTGTAATGATTCACAATTAGTAAAGAAAATGATAAATAATACAACATTATAAAGTTAATAGAATGGTTGGGTCCTGGAGTATTCGCGGCGGCAGAGAAAAATATAGTTTAACGTCTTAGCATTACACAAAGATCCAGTACACAAACAGATAAGAGAGAGGGTGTAGCATTCATAAGAGACACCAGAGTTTTTACGTGGAACTTGAAAATGGGGAATAACCACGGGGCCTGGCCCAGTTTGAATGAATCCACGAGTATTTTAAGTCGATTACAAATGATGCCCTTCCTTGGGAGAAGGCCTTGGCTTAATGGTACAAATATAAATCATATAGAGCGCATTACATAGTGGGAGTTACAATAATATACATATTTGTTTGGTAGGAAGGGTCGTAGTAGGCGATAGAGGTCGTGAGGACCATATTTGGCAGGAGATCGGGGTCTGAAAGACCGTTGTCTGGCGATGTAAGTCGGAAAGACCGTAGTGGCAGGAGGCCGGGGTCAGAAAGACCATTGTCTCTTGATGGAGGTCGGAAGGACCAAAATAGACGACGAAGGTCAGAAGTACCGTAGTCGGCAGGAGACCGGGGTCAGAAAGATCGTTGTCTGGAGATGGAGGTCGGAAAGACCATAATTAGTAGGAGTCCAAGGTCAGAAAGATCGTTGTCTGGTGATGGTGATCATAGTAGGCGACGGAGGTCAGGAGGATCGTAGTCGGCGGGAGATAGGAGTCTAGAAGATCGTTGTTGATCGGAGTGACCATAGTAGGCGACGGAGGTTGAGAGCACCGTAGTCGATAGGAGATAGGAGTCTGGAAGATCGTAGTTGATAGGAGACCGAGGTCTGAAAGATCATTGTTTATTGATGGAGGTCGGAAGGATCATAGTAGGCGACGAAGGTCACAGAACCGTAGTCGGCAGGAGACCGGTGTCAGAAAGACCATAATAGAAGAGTGGTACTTCAGTAGAACTCCTAGCAATAGGTGGTAGCCTGGTGGAGCTTGGGGCCTCAAGTGACAGTCCGGCGGAAGTCCGAGCCTCAGGAAGTGGCCTGGTGGAGCATTTGGCCTCAAGTGGTGGCCCGGCAGAGCAACGGCGTCAGGCGGTGGTCCGGCGGAGGCGAGGGCCTCAAGTGGCGGTTCGGCGGAGCAACGACGTTAGGTGGTGGTCCGGCGGAGGCGAGGGCCTCAAGTGGTGGTTCGGCGAAGCAACGGCGTCAGGCGGTGGTCCGGTGGAGGTAAGGGACTTAAGTGGCGGTCTGGAGGAGCAATGGCGTCAGGCGGTGGTTCGAAAAAGGTGAGGGCCTCAAGTGGTGGTCCGGCAGAGCAACGGCGTCAGGCGGTGGTCTAGCGGAGGTGAGGGCCTCAGGTGGTGGTCCGGCAGAGCACAAGGCGTTAGATGGTGGTCCGGCGAAAGTCCGACGGTGGTCGACGAGGCAAGGAAGCAAGAGCGATCTCCGATCTCTCTCTTTTTTCCTTAGGCTTAGCCTTCCTCTTCAAGAGGAGAGGGAGCTCTATTTATAGATTTATGGAGTGGCATGGCCCGTAAATAGGTGAGAGATCAAAGGTAAATGGGGAGTGGTCGGATGAACGACCGATGTTGAATCCCTTGATCATACACCGTTCTTTAGACATTTCAAGAACTTAATGATGTTGGAATTTGGCAATCTTGGGCTTGTTGGATTTGTCTCGT